AGGTGCTTAATTAATTTTGTTGAAAGTTTAGTGATTATCTCAAATAAAATTTATAACTAAGAGTGTTTAAGTGATAACTACCTTAATATTTAGATTAGGAACATTGGGAAATTAGTATTATTTCGATTAGCTATACGAATTTTGCTTAGCAGGATATGTATAAGAAATGTGTTTTAAGTACGTGTCAATTAGTCAATTACTTGCATGGGGCAGTGAACGACCACGTCGCACCTGGTCGGGACATAGAGGCCTGCCGTTCGACGAACCGTACAAAATTCGCGGAGGCGTGATGCTCGCTTGATCGTGAGCGATTTCATCACGCGCTGATAGCTCGCAGCTTCTCTCATAGGAACAGCCATCGTCGATTCTAAGAGGACAAATAATCGAGCTTTTTTCTCTTTTCGATGAGATCGCCTGCTTTTCACGTGGCCTGCGTAAATGTAATTACTTTCGACTTGAAGTAAACAAGAATTAAACAGTGATTAGTAGACTGAGAATTTTTGTGCAAAATTAAATCTAGTAAGAACGTCACCCTTTGAAAATGATAACAAACGATAAATGATAAGTGCACGTGTTTTGATTAGAGAATCGTAACTTGGGGAATGAAACGATGCTTCATATGCACGGAGCTGTTGGAAAGCTTTTGATCAGAGATCCGTTCAATTTTTCCCCATGAAGCGTAGCCCCGAGAGACAGCCCGCCCCGCACATCGTCAAATTCAAATCCGGGCTGTCAGTATGCGAGTTGCATAGGCGAATGACGCGCGTTGAACGTGGCTGCCAGTGTACATCGACGTCGCCGGGCGGTCCTTTCGGAGGAGAGGAAAAACGCGGCTGTTGCTCTCTCGTAGTAACGCAGCCGGGACGATCGGAAGAGGGCATCGTTGAAGGTTTTGATTTTATTTGTGCGCACGTCAAACGTTTGCGCCGCCGTTGTTTCCGCGGATCGCCAGAATGAAATTCCGGCCTCCTGTCATTCCTGTCCGTTTTACGGGCTCCTGATTCTGGCCTAGTTAACGCGGAGTCGCTCGTGCATGCTAAGAGCAATGAATCCCGGGCTCGAAAAACTTCTCGAGTAATGCAGATTTTATCAGAGCACAAATGCACTTGGCAAACTTTTATTATCTCCATTCTTTACGACGTGAGACTTTCGAAAATTCAATTTATTAATACTAATATTTTATTCATAAACTGTGCAAAGAGATTTATATACTTCTTGAAATAATACTGAATTCAAGAGAATCAAACTTTCGAAACAGCAAACGTCTGACGAGGGCGTCGTTTACAATCAGTCCAGGAACTCAATACCTACTAAACTGGTCTCAGAGGGAATTAACATGTCCTTGGCAAGAATGGAAGAACTTGGATGTGTAAAGAACAGCTCGTAGCTGACATAACCGTCTGAATCACCGATTAAGACCAATTAAGCTGCCGCTGGCTCGCATCTCTCGTTATACGCTCTGTCTCGTGAACTTAAAGTATCACTCGTTATCTTATTTCCGCAATGATGAGAAAAATTCA